CGACTTGGCCTCTACCTCTCGACTTCTCCTGTCTGAGATTCAGGAACTTGGAATTATCAGCCCTTGTGCTTTCTTCCGGTGGCATGGCGGCTAGGCACCGAAAGGGTGCCACAGGTAAAAGATTTTTCTTTTTGAGGGACAGAAACGGGGGATTTACGAGTAACCCAATAGTGGTATCTGAGTCTACAGAGAACGCTATGCATGCATGTATTCTTCCCCAACGGCATCATCACATTCAATTATGTCAAGGCGTAACTACGTAGGGCTCCAACCAACTTGGTCTTCACGGAAGAGGACACTCATCAGCTCTTGCACAAGACAAACCCCTTCAGCGCGTTTGGACCAGACAATGTCCACCCAAAGGTCCTGAAGGAAACGTCACCCACACTGGAAAGGCATTTCCCCTTAGTATTTCGTCAGTCGCTTGACGAAGGCAGGCCTCTCTCTTGTTGGAGTGAAGCGGCTGCCACGCCAATCTGCGAAATTGGCGACCGATCATCGCCCGGCAGCTGCAGGCCGGATGCCACAAAGTTCGACTTCTCAAGTGCATCCAATCGCTTGTCACACATTTGTTGCTCCACATAGTTGAGTCTTGTGTTATTGGAGGACAAAGTCTACACTGGTTTAAGTGGTCCTTATCAGCAGAGTTATGCGTGCGATTCCCTGTCTGATGCTTCTTCATGGTTGGTCTCTATCATAGGCCCTCACGCTGTGTTTTGGGACCAGCGGTGTTTCCGATCTGCTGCGTCGAACTTTCCGGTCTTCTTTGAAGTCCACGTTGACGTGTCGCGGAGGTCTTGAAATGTCACCCTCCAAGGGGAGGTAGACGCCGCAACGCTGTGGTTGTTTGACTGGCATTTCCCTTGAATGGCGAAAAATGCCTGCATGTCATTCGAAAGAGGAGACTCAGCGAACGCCCTTGTGGATAATAAGAATGGGCCGGAAGACATTACGATGACAGATACCAAGAATGATTTAGGTATCTGGTTGTCTTCAATCGGCCCAAAGGCATTCGCCGTTTTATGGATGGTTCAACATACCTGACCCACATTACTCACATGGACTTCCAGATACTTTATGGAGCCTACGTCAGACCACTTTTCGAATATATCAGCTAAGTTGTCAGGACGCAAGAAAGACGCAGTCTTCATTGAGCGTGTCTAACGATCTGCTGCGAAAGTGGTTCATCATCATCATCCTCAGCATCATCACTACCACCATCGACAGCATGACATTTGTGTTCAACACCGATGCTTCACTGCCGTACAGTCATGATTTATTTGAAAGCCTTACTGTAAAGAAAAGAGTAACA